GTCACCCAGCTCCACTGTCTTTGCATTGCAGTTACTTGCCATCCCCGAGTTCCCCCTCTTCCCCACCTCTGGACCCTAAGCGCAGAATTTGGGGTGTGCGTCTGAATTGTTCGCACTGTGTGCCCAGTGCCTCGGATAGAGTCTGGCACGTAGTAGCTGCTCAGTAAATATTTGTTCTGTGAATTAGTTCGTAGCCAAGACAGGATTGGAACTTGTATTCCTGAATCTCGGGCTAGTGGGCTTTCCTGCATTTGCTGTCCCCACACACAGCTCAGGGACCTCTGAAAGTTTGAACTCTGGCCTGGGGGTTGGAAATAGCACCAAATGGTGGGAAGGGGTAGGGGAGGAACTGCTGATGGAGCCTCTGCTTTAATTGCCTCAAGGCAGTTGACCATTTGTTGGAGTCAGATAAGCTGCTAAAGTTGGAGGGGTGTGTGTGTGTGTGTGTGTGTGTGTGTGTGTGTACCTGGGGTGGGGTGGTGCAGACACAGGGGAGAGGGGATTTCAGAGTGGGCTGGGTAGCTAAGTTTCATCTAGCCTGCTTCCATGGTCTCCCCTCCCCTCCCCTCTCCCTCAGATAAAACCATCAGCTGTTAGGGACCCAGCTGTGGCTGACTCCGGGGAAGGAGAGAGAAAGACCCCATTGCTCTGAGTGCGTTCCCAGGCTGGAGTTCAAAGCAGACCTGTGAAGCGAGGGGCTGGAGCAGAGAGAGCTGGGCAGGGGAGGTGAGAAGTCAGCCAGGACAGAGGCTCCGCTCCCACTTTGATGTCTCCAGCCCAGGGCTTCCGGCAAGTCTGGGTGGGGTCCCAGCAGAAGGTTTCAGCTTTACCCCTCATCCCAAATTCTTGGAGAGATCCAATTAACCCCCTTCCTGTCTTCCAAGTACGATGCTTATCCAGATTCCTGATCCCATCACGCACAAGCTCTTCCATACTCGTGAATGGTGTGCCCAGTGCACACTCATGCCTCGTGCAGATACAAGCAAGCACGCTCTTCTATGCACACGAATGCATACACCGGACGCACCCTCACCTCTCCATGCAGCGCAAGCCCGGTCTGTTCATCAACCCCTGCAGACTTCAAATCCAAGAGGCCTTTCCGCACACACAGAACTTGCATTCAGAGTGCACGCAGCCACACACATCACAGGCACAGGGCCACTCCAATCTCGGCTTTCTAGGTCAGGGACAAGCCTGGCTGTGGGGTGGGTGAGGGCTATTGAACCACTGACTCCAGAGGTCTCCCTATAGTCTGGACTCTCCTTAGAGGACACTGCAGCAGGTCTGGAGTACTTCACTGCCAGGGGCTGCTCATCTCAGGCTCTTCACAATACCCTGAAGAAATCACTCAGGAGAGCAAGAAGTCCCCCGGGAAACATGCTTGGACCTCTCCAGGGCAGCCCTGCTCCAGGGACTTTGGCCAACAGTTCTGCCTTAGCTGCTGGTTTCCCAGACGGCTCGGAGTAGATTACTCTGGATCAATTTAGCAAGAAGTTTCTCTTACTAATGCAGTAGAATGACCCCGGAGTGAAGATGCCCATGTCACTGTAATTTAAGAGACATTTACCAGGGGCCTACTTGAGGGGCACAGAAATGAAGAGCAGGTCTCAGGCCCAGGTCTAGGGTACATCTAGCACATGGTGACTTCTGAGCCTTGGGGCATGCAAGGTCAGCCTTCAGCTACTGGAACCCATCTTTCGTCCTCTGTGCTGAGTGGTGCACTGTGGGGCAGGGACAGAGCAGAGCCAGGCTGGACCAGGAGTGAGGCTGGCTGACTTCTGTTCAAGCTGCCACTGCAGGGGACATTCAGGCCATCTGGCTCCAGCTGGCTCTAGGTTGGAGGCTGGGTCTTATCAGCACTCTACCTCCTCTGGTCCCAATCAGTCAGTGGTCTCCTCCCAGCCCTGGTCCCCATTCCCTCCTCTTTCAATTAGCCTGGTCCTTCTGGTAAGATTAACTCTTCTTTACCCCCCTCTGGGGGGTAAAAGCCTGGAGGCCAGAGGATCAAATACCTGCATCCATATTCTTTCCTAGGGGGTCTCCAGGCTCCTGGTTTGGGATCCAAGTGGATCGGCAGGGGGAGGGATGGGGACCAACTTCAGGGATACTTCAAGCTCACTTTCTCCCTGCCCTCTGTTGTCTAAGCTGCAATGGTCATGGGCACACTTGTCTTTCTGAGAGAATGAGGGAAGATCTGGGATGTTAGGGGTCTCAGCCTCAGTCTTTACCCTGGAATGTCCCGAGCAGCATTAAAAACAAACAAACAAACCAAAAACCAAATGACTTGGTCTGAGCCAAACTGACCCCTGCTTAACTCTTGGGTTCCTCCCAGTACATAAAGGAGCCTACCATGGAAGAAGTCTGACGTGGCTGCAGGTTTGACCCCTTGTGCCCAACCATGCCGTCAGATCATAGTAAAATCCCTCCTGCCACTCTCCTTGGAACTGCTGTTAGCCAAACATGCAGAAGCAAGAAGGCCCAAGAAATTCCTACCCTGTGTAGGATGAGGCCGATGAAGCTCAGGCTCTGGGTCCTACTGTGTGTCCTGACTCCTGTTTTGTAGACACTGCCAAGATTCCAGGGTGCTGCTGTCTTTCTAGTGGCACAGGAATTCTCTTTGGCTGGACCCTGTGGTTTCTGGATCAAGTCTGTGGCACTAACCTTAACTGTACCAACTGTTGCCTGGCAGGATTCTTACACCGTGTCTAATCACAGGTGGGAAGTGTTTATAAACACTGGGTTTTAATCTCACCCCAAAGAGCTTATTTTAAAGTAAATGACAGGTGTCCTAGCATTATCCTTCATTTCTATAATGCCTAACAGGTGACAAACCCAACTTTAAAAGGGTTGCAGGTTTTTCTTTGGGAGCATAGTGGATTAGTCTATGGGCTCCAGACAGCTGTGGTTCCAGTTCTGGCTCTGATAATGACCTTGACCAAGTCACTTCACCTCCCTGTGTCTCAGTCTCCTCATCTGGTAAACTGAGGTCAATGGGAGTCTCTACCTCCTACTGTGGCTGTGATGATTAAAAGAGAAGGGACACAGGTATGCAATGCTTGGAAGATTGCCTGTCCACAGCATGTGAGAGCCGCCATCTTCCTAAGAATCCCAGTCTCCCCATCCCACAGGGCCTCTGGGTTACCAGATGGCCCTCAGGGTCTTCCTCACCTTCTCCTCTGCATTTCTCCATTCACCCTGTGGTGTGTTTCCATTTCTCTTTCTTTGCATTTTATGTTCCTTCCCCTACTGCCTGTCTTCCCTGTGGTTCTCCCACCTTCGATTTTGGCAAGCTCTTGTTCAACGGCCACCACCTGGGGTGTTTTACCCATCTTGTATGTTTTGAAAAAAACCGAGTTCATTTCCAAATCTAGAAATTTCTCATAAAAATCCAGTATTAGATATTAATTTGGAAAAAATCCTAAGGCATGGTAATGCTGGCTCCACGTGGCAACCAGAGGCTGAGCTGAGGAGGTGGCCTTCTTTTTCTTTATTTTTGGGGACTGGGTCTTGTTGTGATGCTCAGGCTGGCCTGGAACTCCTGGGCTCAAGTGATCCTTCTGCTGTGGCCTCCTGCTGGCTGGGACCCCAGAGGCCCAGTCTCTACCACTCCTGATTGTTGCAAACTGGCTGTTTTACCCTTATCTCCTTTTGGTCTGGTCCTTGATTTGGAGGCCTGTGCTGTGGAAAGTTTTCTGACAAACTTTCCCTCCAGACAGTGGATTCAAGCTTTGTAAGTCCTTTGTCTTGGATGTGGCCAAGACTCATCTCCTGATTTTGGTCAGTTTTACTTCTGCCCAGTATATACATCTATTTTCCCCAGTGCTAGGATCAAACCCAGGGCCTCGCATGAGAGGCACATGCTCTACCATTGAGCTATGTCCCCAGTCCTCCTACCCAACTTTAGGTGGCCTCCCCAACTCTTGGAGGGTGGTGGAGCTTATACTGCACACCCTTCCTTTCTTCCTGCCCACAGATCCCAGAACAGCGATCAGATGCAGGAAAGGGAGTTTCTATGGGACTCTAACCATGACATACACTCAGTGGGGGCCGTTTTCTCTGCCTCCTCCTCTAGTTCAGCTTCCTGATCTTACACGGTCTCATAGGAAACTCCCCGTCTGTGCAAGGCAGTAAGAACCTGAAGACTGAAAAGTGTCCACGTTCTCGCCTCAGAGGAATTCATACACCTATTCTTCTATACAAGGCTCTTCTTTCCATCCACTCCCTCATTCCAGACCCTACATCTACTCTCTCACTCAACAACCACTGAGTGATACCTTACATAATGTTCTGTGTGTGCTTGGAGAGGAAGAATAGCAAACCAGCTATGACAGAATTTACTCTGTGAGCTTCAGCAAGACCTTTACCCGGCCCAGCCTTAGTTTCCCCCATAGATTTAGTCACTTTACTTGAGATCATTTTGTCCTGGATTTCTTTCATCCTGTCACTCTGTCCTTAATCTTCTAAAACTTACTATGCCATCTGCCAACTTAAAACTCCCATTCAGAGAGAGGGCTGAAGCCAGGAGCTGGAGGAAGATGAAGGAGAGGGAGGTAGAGAGACACAGTCCTAGTGTGAAGTGTGGTCTGGGTGGGGGGCAGGAGTGCAGGAAGGGAGCGGAGGGACAGACCCACTGGCCAGGAGGGCCTGCCAGATGCTGGGACGGTCCTGTGAAATCTCACACCCTCCTGGCCCCCTGCCTTCCTTGGCTCCAGGTCAGACTGGATTTCAGTCTGCATAATTTGTCCCATTTAGATGACAACAGGCGGGTGTAGAGGACTGAGAAGGGGGTGCCCTAAAGGGCAGGCATGAGGTGGTGGCCAGAGCAGACTGGAGGGATGGAGTCTCCGGTGAAGGTGGGTGTCGCCCAGAGGGAGGGGGCGGGGCCAGGAGGAGCTGCAGCCGTGCAGAGCGCAGATAACAGTCCGCCCAGCACAGCAGGGGTCAATTCCGTCTACTTGCCCAGTGACACGAAGGGGGAAAAAAAGTGGGCTGTAACTTAAAGATCTTAAGACTCACAAGTGAGGGGTTGGTCTGGGGGTGGGAGGAAGGAGTGACGGGTGAGGAGTGGAGACAGCAGCCCAGGAGGGTGCAAGGAAGTATCTTAGCTGAGGCTGGAGAGAGTGGGGGGAAGTCTGCAGGGACAGACATCCTCCAGGGTCCAGAATCCAGAGCAGCTCCTCCTGCCTGCCGGGAAGGGCTCTGAGCACTGCTGCCCTTTTTGGCCACTGAGGCTCAAGCCAGAAGCCCAGGGTGTTTGCTGTTGGTGACAGAGCCACGAAGCTGGTAGCTCTGGGACTCCCTGCCCATCTTCTTCTCCACTCCCGGCATGGAGGAAGGTGGAGATTTCGACATTTATTATGGGGCAGACAACCAGTCTGAGTGTGAGTACACGGACTGGAAGTCCTCGGGGGCGCTCATCCCCGCCATCTACATGCTGGTCTTCCTCCTGGGCACCACGGGCAACGGCCTGGTGCTCTGGACGGTGTTTCGGAGCAGCCGGGAGAAGAGGCGCTCAGCTGACATCTTCATCGCCAGCCTGGCCGTGGCCGACCTGACCTTCGTGGTGACCTTGCCACTGTGGGCCACCTACACGTACCGGGAGTATGACTGGCCCTTTGGGACCTTCTCCTGCAAGCTCAGCAGCTACCTCATCTTTGTCAACATGTATGCCAGCGTCTTCTGTCTCACCGGCCTCAGCTTCGACCGCTACCTGGCCATCGTGAGGCCAGTGGCCAATGCCCGGCTGAGGCTGCGCGTCAGCGGAGCGGTGGCCACGGCCGTCCTGTGGGTGCTGGCCGCCCTCCTGGCTGTGCCCGTCATGGTGTTCCGCTCCACCGGGAACTTGGAGAATAGCACCAAGGTGCAGTGCTACATGGACTACTCCATGGTGGCCACCTCGGGCTCCGAGTGGGCCTGGGAGGTGGGCCTGGGGGTGTCGTCCACCGCCGTGGGCTTCGTGGTGCCCTTCACCATCATGCTCACCTGCTACTTCTTCATCGCCCAGACCATTGCAGGCCACTTCCGCAAGGAGCGCATCGAGGGCCTGCGGAAGCGCCGCCGGCTGCTCAGCATCATCGTGGTGCTGGTGGTGACCTTCGCCCTGTGCTGGATGCCCTACCACCTGGTGAAGACGCTCTACATGCTGGGCAGCCTGCTGCACTGGCCCTGCGACTTCGACATCTTCCTCATGAACGTCTTCCCCTACTGCACCTGCATCAGCTACGTCAACAGCTGCCTCAATCCCTTCCTCTACGCCTTCTTCGACCCTCGTTTCCGCCAGGCCTGCACCTCCATGCTCTGCTGGGGCCGCAGCACATGTGGGGCCAGCTCCCACAGCAGCAGCGGGGAGAAGTCCGCCAGCTACTCTTCGGGGCACAGCCAGGGGCCCAGCCCCATTGTGGGGAAGGGTGGAGAGCAGACACAAGAGAAATCCATCCCCTACAGCCAAGAGACCCTTGTGGTTGACTAGGGCTGGAACCAGAGAGAAGCCTGGCTCCCCTGGCCTGTCCCAACCTCTGCTCTTGCTCTCTGCGAATCAGGTAGCACGGCTGCACCTTCTCTTTGCACCTGCCCTGGGCCCTGACTCCGTCTTGTCCTCCTCTGATTTCTTCATTCTTTCTTAGACCTTTGGGATTGAGCAGAAAGAGGCTGAGCTCTGCAGTCAGACCTGTGCTCTGCTACTTAGTACCTGTGAGATGGCCTCGCCCAAGGCTCACTTTCCCCTCTGTATCAATGGAGGAACATCATGCAGACCCTAAAACATTGATGTGTGAGAACGGATCCAAACTGTGCTTCCTTCCATCCTTTTCTGAGATCTTTGGCTTCTTTTCTCTCTCCTTCCTTTGAGTTTCCCTCTAACTCTGCAAGTTTTACTGTTAATCCTCATCTTCTAGCTGCAAGCTCTCTCCCCACATGGATCCCCCCTTCCCAGTCCTTCCTTCATCCTCATTTACTTCCGTCCTGCAGGGCTCCCAAGAGTTAAGGATCCCGAAGCTTGCAAAGACTGACCCTGCCCATGCCCTTACCCTGTTTTCTGAAAGCCAGCTAAGGAGTGGGCCGGAGCTGTGATGAGCTGTGTGTCAGCAAAGAATTAACGCTCCAGTCGCCAGGGCCAGGAGCTCCAGGATGTTTCCTAAAACTGGATCAGTTCTCTGTCATTTCAGGCACCAGGGCCACCGTGATCCATGCAGAGAGCTTCCCTTCTTGCAGAGTCTCTGTGATACCCACCACAGATCCCCTAGATCCTTTCCTTCTTCCTCTATTGTCGGTGAGAATTGGACAGCAATGGGCTGATGAAGCTACGGAGTTTTACTACTTGGTTTTAGCACGTGAATGGGGAGCTGAGAAAGGAGAACAGAGAAGAGGCGCTGGAGGGCTGTCTGTGTTGGTCTGTGTGCTGCTTGGCTCCCCCTCCCCCAATCCCCATCCCTCCAACCTCCTCTGGAACTGTGAACCGCAGGTCTTTCTCCCACCCCGTCATCTCCCCGATGTTTTTCCTGGGTGCTTGTGCCAAGAGTCACTTGGTTGGGGTGAGGATGCTTGCTTTTTGTCTGTGTGAATATATACATGAATACACATATCTCTATATGGATGAACATAACATGGTGAATGTCATGGATGAATGAACTTGGATGGATCCCTGCTCCCTTCCCCTCTCCCTGGCCACCATGTCTCTGCTTGTCACACTGTACCCTTGAAGGAAGAAGAGACACGTGGAGGCAATTTAGAATAAAAATGAGTGCACCCCCCACTGGATTTGGGGGCTCCAACGGCTGGTCCGTACTTTAAAAAGTCTGTGTTTGACCTGGCTGTCTGCAGGGACATCCTTCCCAGGAGCATCTGGGGCCCAAGGCTCGGGAAGGAAGTCCTACTGAGCTGGGTTTCCATTCCTGCTGTAATTCTATGGTGGGAAGAAGAGGCTGGCCAGAGCTTCCCCTGGCCCCTCCCCACACCTCCCACCCCGTTTTGAGTTTATTTCTCTCATTTATCTTTCTTTTTCCCAGGGTCAGTGGTCCCCTTCCCAAGGAGGGGGTGAGAGGCACAGGGTGGGCTTTGTCTCCCCTCACCATCAGGACTGAATCTCCTGGCTTCTGAGACTGGGTCGGGGGCTGGGGACAGTGAGTAGAGCAGTCATGGAGGGGCTGGTGGCCTGGTGTCCATACTGCCCGAGGGACCTCAAGGTCAAAATTAATCAAGGGGCCTTTTTGAGCTGGAAATGGGGTGTGTGTATTCCGGGTTTTGTTCTTGAAGGACTCTGGAAATGAAGGACAAGATGTGGACAGAGATGGGAAGAGCCCAGCTTGGTGTAAATGGACATGTCGGCCATCCCTGGGATGGAGGTGGCTCTGGGAACAGAGGGGGAACAGAGGGGCACTGGCTCCTCTCAGCTTAGTCTCCCCATCTCAGACCAGAACGTCCCACAGAAGCCGAGCGCCACCCTCAAGGCACCCAGTCAAGACTGGAGGAGGCTCTCGAAGGCCAGAGGGTGCCCCCGAGACTCTCCTGAGTGAACCGCAGGGACTTCCTGCCTGGCACTCAGGCACGGTCTGGGGCAGTGGCAGAGGAGAGTGCCTTCTCCCCTTCTCCCCTTCCGCAGAATGCCTGTGCTCCTTGCTGACCTTGTTAGTCACTGTGTTCATCAATAAAACTGTTTTGTGTAACTGTCGTGTCCGGAGCCTCTTCTCACCCAGGTGTCTGGGGATGAGGGAGAGAAGCCAGTTGGTGGGGGTTTCAGCAGGAGGTGGAATGAGGCGAGGGGAGCAGAGGGAGCCTACGGCAGGGAGCCACATGGGAACCGGGAGAGGAGGGGGGGTGTGAGCAGATGGTGATCAGACACCAGCGAGGGGAAAGGATGAGGCGAGGAGAAGGAGATAAAGGAACAGGGGAGCTGCCAGGCGCTGTGCTCTGAAAGCCACAGAACACATGGACACACATTTGGGATCCAGAGCACAAGTCTGGGGAAAAGTAGCAGCATTTACTCTGTTCACCATCCCTAGAAGCCCCTCAGACGATTTCTGGGGAATGCCAGGCTGAGGGAGGCCTGCACCCTGATACATTCTTCCCAAATTAAAGTGGGCACAAAAAAACCAAAGAGTCAGAGAAAACTGGGCTCTGGGTGGTCAAGTGTCAGGGGGAAGAAGAGGCTAAAATGATCCTGGGGGGGTGGGAAATGATCCATCCCAAGTAGCAGAGACCTCCCGGGGACCAGTCATGTATCATGTGACACGAAAGCAATCACCACAGTAGAGCTGATGGTAATGATGAGCTCACATGCATGGAGTTTTACCTCTGGGCTAAGCGTCTTCCAAGCATTATCTCATTTAACCCTTGGAGCCATCCTCTGTGAGGGGCAGTTCACTCTACTTCTGATGAACAAGGAAGCTGAGGCGCAGAGATTCACTAGATCTCTTGATCAAGGTCACATAATTCGTACATGGAAGAGCCAGGCCTGGGGCCAGGTGAATCTGTCCAACTCCTAAGCCCATGCTCTGAACTGTGGTACCGGCACTTCTTCCAAGTACAAATGAGGCAGCATCAGGTGGTTGGGAAGGAAGCGAGATCTCATCTGTAAGACCCCTGGTACCTGTGAAGACTGGGGCACTGAATAGGAACAGGAAAGGGATGGTAGAAAAGCATGAGGGAGGGAGGGAGGGAGGGAGGGAGAGAGGGAGAGAGAGAGAGGAGGCAGACAGAGAGACAGTAATGAGAGACAGGGAGGAGAGAGAAACAGAGATAGCAAAAGAGAGATCTAGAGAGACAGGGAATGGGGGGGGAGAGAGAGAGAGAGAGAGAGAGAGAGAGAGAGAGAGAGAGAGAGAGAGAGAGAACACCTAACCTAGGTGGGAAGAAGAAACCAAGATGCAGAGGGGGCTGAGGTCAGGGAAAGAGAACCTGTTTTCCCTCTACTGAAACACACCCCTGGGAAAGCCCTTCAGGAATTTATGGTTGTAACAAGGAGCTGAGGTTGTTGTTGTTGTTTTTTTTAAACAGATGCTGTTAAAAAAACAGAAAGTAAAGTCCCTCAAAACAAACAAACAAACAAAACTCTCCTGGGGGAATTGAGGTAAGTTATCCCAAACACTATGAAATTACAGAGCACTTAACAATTGACACATTCAGGCCGTTCTCTCACTCACACTCGTCCTCAGTATTATTTACACGCCCAGCCCTGGGCTGGAAGCAGGCTCTGCTGGCGGAGACACACCAGGCAATGTGTGGCTGTGATTGAAGGGTATGATCTGAGAGAGTGAAGGCCCACAGTGTCCTTGGGCCATCGTGAAGACAAAGGCGGGAGTCCAGGCAGGCGCCAGGCAAGACTGCAGAGGTGCCAGGAGCCTGTCCTCTGCAGTGGGCAGGGTTGGGCAGGGTGAGCACAGCCTCTCCAAGGAAGCAGGGTGCTCATGCTTGCTTTACCCATCGCTACCCTGACTCTGGAAGTCAGAGAAAATCTTGTCTGCACCTCACCGTGTGGATGCCAAGAAGATCGGGGCTGGGACTAAAATCAGAATCTCTTTGGCAGTTGGAGTAGGGGGATGGAATTTTTTTTTCTTTTAAACTTGGTGATTCCCAGTTTCTTCCCTTCCTTGGCATCTTCCTCTGCTACCTACTAGAGCCTCCTAATCAGGGGCTGGGATTTCAGGACCCTCTCACTCTGAGCTTGTTAAATAAGATGCTAAGAGTGGGCCCTTTGGAAAGGCCATCCCTCGTGCTGTAGAAGCCAGGGTGACACCCAGAACAACAGGGGATAGCACACCTAGCCCTCAGTTTGGTACCACTCTGTCTGAGGTCCAGGGAGTTGGCAGATTTCAGGGCCTGATCCAGTGGGTACAGTTTTTCAGAGGAAATTTTAGGACCAATTCTAGAAATTTTCATGTATAGTTTGCTGAAGTATCAAAGCAATGTTCATTTATATTTACTAATTCAGTCCGTTTTTCTGTTATTGTATCAAAACACCCAAGGCTGGTTAATTTGTAAATAAAAGAGATTTATTCAGTTCATGGTTCTGGAGGCCCAAGAACACAGTGCTGCATCTGCTCAACTTCTTGTGAAGACCTCATGTTGCATCAATTCAGGGAAGAGAATTGGAAGGACGATTGGCCACATGTAGAAAAGGCCACATGCATGGGGTGGCCTTGCTTTGTAATAACCCACTATCACAATCAGTAATCCAATTTTTTTAATCATGATATTGGTGATATTTTATTTATTTTTAATCTCTTTTTTATTTATATGTGACAGTGGAATGCATTACAATTCTTATTACACATATAGAACATTTCGTATCTCTGGTTGTATACAAAGTATATTCACACCAATTTGTGTCTTCGTACATGTACTTTGGATAATAATGTTCATCACATTCCACCATCATTTCTTACCCCATGCCCCCTCCCTTTTCCTCCTACCCCTCTGCTCTATGTAGAGTTCATCTATTCCTCCCATGTTCCCTCTCCCTATTCCACTATGAATCAGCCTCCTTATATCAGAGAAAACATTTGGCATTTGTTTTTTTGGGATTGGCTAATTTCACTTAGCATTATTTTTTCTAACTCCATCCATTTACCTGCAAATGCCATGATTTTATTCTCTTTTATTGCTGAGTAATATTCCATTGTGTATAAATGCCACATTTGTTTTATCCATTCATCTATTGAGGGGCATCTAGATTGGTTCCACAGTTTAGCTATTGTGAATTGTGCTGCTATAAACAATAGATACTACAGGGCTGTGTCCCTGTAGTATGCTGTTTTTAAGTCCTTTGGATATAGACTGAGGAGAGGGATAGCTGGGTCAAATGATAGTTCCATTCCCAATTTTCCAAGAAATCCCCATACTGCTTTCCATATTGGCTGTACCAATTTGCAGTCCCACGAGCAGTGTCTGATTGTACCTTTGATGGACTCAAACTAAAAAGTTTCTTCTCAGCAAAATAAACAGTCTGTGAGGTGAATAGAGAGCCTACATCTTGGGAGCAAATCTTTACCCCTCACACATCAGATAGAGCACTAATCTCTAGAGTATATAAAGAACTCAAAAAGCTAAACACCAAAAAAAAACAAAAACAAAAACAAAAAAACAAAAAACAAAAAACAAAACACAAAACAAAATAAAACAAAAAACCCAACCAAATCAATAAGTGGGCCAAGGACCTGAACAGACACTTCTCAGAAAATGACATACAATCAATCAGCAAATATATGAAAAAATGTTCATCATCGCTAGTAATCATCCCATTTTAAAAGACTTAACTCCCTAATTGAGTCCAAAGAGTTCTGAGTCTCTTGGGAAAGGCATTAATGTACTCATGAAAACAGGCCCCCAGGACCTAATTTTCTCTCAAAGGCCCGACCTCTGGAGGCTCTCACATTGAGTAATTAAGCCTCAGTGTGAGTTTGGGTGGGGCCAGCTATATCCAAACCATAGCATAGCTTATCCATTTAGCACACCTTTGTTCAGTGCCTATGCACGCCTGGAACTGTCTTCAGAGCTAGGGATACTGCTGAGAACCACCTCTGCCTTCATGGAGCAACCTGAAGAGCCTCCTAGTTTGACTAGATGGGTAAACTGAGGAAAAGGGGAACAGATAACACGTGGCCAGAGAGTGGGAAGGTGCAGAGTTGGGGGCTAGAACTTGGGCTTCTCACTGTCCATCAGGAACGTGTTCATGAGCTATGGGCTTAGAAAGGAAAGAGGTTCTTTCCTTACTGAGACTCTACCAGCAAGAGGACAGAGTCAGACCAAAGACAAGCCCCTAGCTGGAGATAGGGAGGGTACAGGGGTACTTGTTCATAACAATGTTTGCTACAGTTTTCATTTTGGAAGAGTTTTAGACTTATAGAAAATTGGTGGATACAGTAAAAAGCATTCCCCTATATTTCACACTTAATTTCCTTTATGATGAGCAGCGTACATTAGTATGACACACTTGTCACAATTCATGAACCGCATTGATACGTTATCATTAACTAACATCTATCCTTGGTACACATTTCCTTACTTTTTAAGCTCATGTTCCTTTTCTGCTCCGGGATTCCACCCAGGACCCACTCCACATCCAGTCCTGTCTTCTTAGGCTTCTTGAGGCTTTGGCCATTTCTCAGACTTTGTGTTTGATGAACTGGACAGTTCCGGTGAACTCCGGTCAGGTATTTTGTTCTAAGTACTTTTATTTCCATTTACCGGGCACATGCTCTGTGGTGAGGAGAGAGCAATAAATAATGTACAAGTGATTCCTGCTCTTTTGGAGTTTAACAATCAATAATAAAGTGCAGTGAGCATCATTACGGGGAAAGCACAGGATGCGGTAGAGGTAGAAACCCATCTTCCATCTGCACCACGGAGGGCTCCTGAGACAGCTAATGCACTGGCAGAGAGCACAGGTCCACTTTAGCTTCCATCAGGGATTAAATGTCTGACCTTCTCTCACCTCCAAAGCTACCCACTAGGACCTGTATTCTTGTCTGCATAACTGGAAACCTGGGGGCATGAGATAAAGGAATATTTGTGTTCAGTGGGCATCTCACTCCACATTATTCTGTACTTTACTGAATTTTCGGTTGTGTGGCCCATCTCTTTCCTACTTGAGACTATTTTATTTTCTTTGGTACTGGGGATTTATCCCAGGGATGCTTTACCATGGAGCCATCTCCATCTCCAGTCTTTTTCTTTTCTTTTGTTTTTTGTACCTGGAATTGAACTCGGGGTACTTGACCACTGAGCCACATCCCCAGCCCTTTTTTTGTATTTTATTTAGAGATAGGGTCTCATTGTCTCACTTAGTGCTTAGTGTCTCGCCATTGCTGAGGCTGGTCTTGAATTTGCGATCCTCTTGCCTCAGCCTTCCAAGTTGCTGGGATGACAGGCATGTGCCATTGCACCCAGCTTGGGGCTGTTTCTTATGCGCAGCTGCTGGACCACTGGGCCAGCACCCTGCTGTTCCCCAACCCCATCTTCCTGGACTCTGGGAACAGTCTCTAGGAGAGCACAGACTCTGCTGCATTATAATGGCTTTGTGGCTTTGTCCACGTCCTCTGCTCTATATGTGCTCCTCTAGAATCCAGGGCTATGTTTATGTATGTTTGTATTCCCAGAGCCTGGAAGGCAGCAGGAACTTGGAGGATGCTTAATTAAACAATGGGACAAAGAAAGTACAGGAGTAAAGTCCAGGTGAGAAACACTAGTTTTTGTTGATAGCAAGCAAATGCATTTCTTTTAGAAGAATCCAGAAAGATGAAGTAAAGACAGGGGCCAGCAGAGATATGTTGGGATGGACAAGTACTCGGATTCCTAACCATGGGCCCAATTAGACTAGGCAGCTTCATCCTCTTTGGAGGAGCCTCTTGGGAAACACAGAGTCAGAACAAAGAACAGGCTGGATGGACCATGTTGCAAGAGCATTTCTGAGAGTCCTCTAAGTGGAATTCCTCAGATCATGGCTTTGCAGGGACCATTTCAGTATGTATGCTGGAAATGATATCTTCAAGTCTCTCGGTGATGATGGTGTCCAGTCTACTTGGTTTCCTGGGGATGGTATTGGTGCCAAAAGGAACTGGTGCTGAGTCCGTTTCTGGGAACTCATGTTTGGACATTCTCTATTCATGGATAAAGCACTCTCATGATGGTGGGGATGTACCGATTGAACGGAAAATGAAATCTTGGACTTCCCCCTCTGTGAAAAATACTCAGGGAAAACATCTCTTCCAGTCCCTGAAAATATTGGGCCAGAATTGAGGGCATCCAAGAAGATTTGGCAGTCTTTCTCCTGGGCCTGGAATACATCCATAAGTTCAAGAGGTCTTCCTGGAGGAGAAGCAGCTTCTGACAAAGAAGGGGACTGGTGTTTTTCTGTTGATGGGCTGTGTCTGGTCTCATTGGCAGAGAGGACTTTAGTAGCTGGGACAACAGTGACCCAGAGTCTGGGTATTATCATCTCCAGGTCCCAGGATTGAAGGTCAGGGATTACATCCTGGACACACCAATATGGTGGATAGTTGATTTCCTATATGAGACCTGGAAGTCCTCAAGTATCCTGGGGTTCCAGCTGGCTGTAAGCTCTGTTTTGGGGGTGCTGTCAGGCTAACAGGGCCACTGGAACGTGCTGTGCTAATAATGTTATTCTTTGTGTTTGAGAAAAGCCATACAACAATGACCAGAGGAATCAATTAAAGCTTACAGGGTTATAATCAATTAAAGTTACAGGGTGGAGAAGGAAGCGGTTTCCACTCTGATTGTGTCAGGGGATCGGGCAGCACAAAATGCCAGCATGGAAAACACGGCAAAATTGAGCTGGAAAGGATTGTCCCTACCCTCCTACTTCATGAATGAAGAGAGTGAGGCCCTGGGAGGGTAAGTGACTTCCTGAGTGCCATTGCTAAGTCGTGGCTGCGTTGGTTGGCTTGGTGCTCATGATTCCCAGGCCTGCCTGCTTGCTTTCTGTTACAGTTTAGATAAGAGGTGTCCCCCAAAAGCTCACTTGTGAGGCAATGCAAGAAAGTTTAGAGATGAAATGATTGGGGTATAAAAGGTTTAACCTAACCAGTGCATTAATCCCCTGATAGGGAGTAACTTGGTGGTAATTGTAGGCAAGTAGGGTGTGGCTGGAGAAGGTGGGTATATATGGGGCATGCCTTTGGAGTACATATTTTGTCCTGGTGAGGAGAGCTCTTTCTCTCTGCTTTTTTGGTGGCCATGTCCTGACCTACTTTTTTTTTTTTTTTTTTTTAACACACCCTTCTGCCATGATGCTCTGCCTTACCTTGGAGGACTGAGGAATGGAGCCAGCTATCTATGGACTGAGACCTCTGAAACTGTGAGCCCCCAAATAAGCTTTTCCTCTTCTAATTTATGTCAGGTTTTCTGATCACAGCAGCAAAAAAGTCAACTATAACACTTGCCCTACTACCAAGCTTCTTCTTTTCTGAAGGGTGGATGGCTTTGGAAAGGTCACTCCTTAGAGCAGACAGGAGATCAACATGGTGCTGGCGTGTGCAATTTGTGTTAGTGAAAACTTGTCTTCTTCGAAACCTTGATGCTGTGTCTCTGCTGTCTTACCCTGTTAAAAGTACAGTCAGGGACATCTAACTTGAATCCTTATTCATCTCATGTTTGTCTGTGTCCTCTAGTCACCCAACTTTTGTGTGCAGAAGAATCACTGAGGGATTTTTTTTTTTTAGATTTTTTTTTTTTTAATATTTATATTTTAGTTTTCGGCGGGCACAACATCTTTGTTTGTATGTGGTGCTGAGGATCGAACCCGGGCCGCACGCATGCCAGGCGAGCGCGCTACCACTTGAGCCACATCCCCAGCCCCTCACTGAGGGATTTAATAAAACACAGAATCTGATTCAATGGATCTGGGGAGTATCCTGAGCATCTTGAGTCTAAAGGACCTCTATCAATGTTAGAAGTTGTTGGCATAAGGACCACACTCATAGGAGCAAAGATCTGGGGCACAATACCCATAAATGAGCTGTTTTCTCATCTGTCAAATAGAGTAATAAGAGTACTTACTCTATAAGCACCCAGGATTGTTTTGAAAGTTACAGGAAGTCATGTTTGCGAGGACAACTGATCGCTGGCATATTAGAGGTGATCAATAGGTATTAATTTTCTTTTTTCATACTGGGGATCAAACCCGGGGTCATGCACATGTTAAGCAAGTGGCTCTGTCGCTGAGCTACCTCCCTAGTCCAGTCCTGTTCAAAGGAAAATTGAATTGATGTGCTCCTTTTCACTACAGAGGGATTGCAGAATCTTTGCCTTTAAAAAGAGGGCACAGGAAAGAAGTGGGTGCTCAACTTGGGGAGTGTGGAGGTAGTTCTTGTATTTAAAATATTTTTTATCTTGGTGGTAACAACAAAATAAAACTAGAAAAATTTGACAGAAGTTTGCATATAAAATTAATCTGGTCAGAAGTTTGCTAGGCAAGAGAGATCAAAAATAGCATGCTGCATAAATAGTTTCAAAATTTAAAATTCACAGTCTCCGTAGTCTTTCAAGTCTGTGTGAGTCTTGGCTTCTCTCTCTGGGGGATAGAGAAAAGGCAGCCTGACATAATTCCACACTGGTGGTCCAGCGGGGAAAATTCTTTTCTCAGCATTGCCTCCAACTAAATATGTCCCCTGGAAAGCCATTCCACCTGCCTGAACCTGTTTCCCCATCTGGAACATGAACAGATTAAACAAGATCAGACAGTTACCCCCTTCCTCTTAAATAAGAAAGAGAAAAGGTCTATTTTGGCTCACAGTTTGGAGGTTCCAGTTCATGACCCATGCGCCCCGTTTCTTCGGGCCTATGGCAACACAGCATGTCATGGTGGGAAAACATGGCAGAGAAAAGCCACTTATGTCATAGGCCAGGGAGCAAGGGGAAACGAGGATGGGTCTGTGTCCCCTTCAAAAGCACATCCCTAGTAGCCTAAGGACCTTCTACAAGTTCCACCTTCCAAGGGTTCCGCCACTTCCAATAGACCCCTCTTGGAGACCAAGTCTTTTAACACATGGGCCTTTGAGGGTCGTTCAAGATCCAGACCAGAGAAGATGACCTTTCTTGTTTGATTATGGCCCTGAACCTCAGCATCAGTGTCAGTGTTGCACATCGGTCATTCAGAGTTGCAAATGCAATTTTGAAGTTCGATCCCTAAGGACTGACATTCTGTCATTCTAAGAGTCCCTAATGGTAGAATCCCAGGCATTAGGCTCAAAGATGGCCCTTGAAGGATGACTAGGATTTTGGCAAGTGGCATCCAGACTGAGGGGACCGTGTAAGCAAAGGCAAGAGAGCAAGGAAGGATGTGAGAGATTTGGGGAGCAGGTATGACTATCTTGTGCACAGGGGGGTACGTACAAGGGAGTGTGAGATAAAAGAGGGTTCAGTAGACAGGACAAATCATGGTGACTCACTCACTAGTCAACACATTTTTATTGGATATTTATGCAGGTCTCTCAGCTCAGTGATGGGATTAAAGCAGAGGATGACAGGTCCTGGTTCTTTCCCTAGGCTACTTAGCATGTCTGCAGGGAGAGAGAGATAACACCCAGGCACAGACACAGCATGTTAAATGGCCAGTTACAGAGAATGTAAAGGAAATAGCATTTGCGATTCAAAATAATATTGAGGACCGTTTCAGACAAGGTGCTCAGGGAAGACCATCTTGGAAGGTGACCTTTCAGTGGACATCTGAAGGATGAGATTTGGCTTGCTAAGCAAAGAACTGGCTGACAGAGTTCCAGACCCAGGAGCCAGCAGGTGCAGAGACTGACATAGGAGAGATCTCAGTAGGTTATGAGAATTATTGTTAGGTCAATTGGAAGACTGGTGGGCTGGAAGCCAAGGAGAGGGTGGCATGAGACAAAGGAGACAGGCAGGGGACAGATTGCAGACAGCTTTGAAGACCATAGGAAGAAGGTTGGCTTTATTCTAAATGAAAAGAGAAGCCATCAGAAAAATGACACGATCTTATTCGCATGTAAAATTATCCCTCGGGTTGCTGCGAAGAGAATGCATTAATGGAGAGTAGGAGGGAAAGCAGAGACCAGCTAGGAGTCTACTTCAGAAGCCATATGCGAGGAGATGGTGGGTCATATAGAGGTGGTGCTCACAGGGATGGAGAAGAGAGGCAGATTAGAGCCATATTTTTTGATGAAGAATAAATAGAACTTCAAATGGCCCGGTATGTTTGAGAGAGGAGAGCATTATCTAAGGTTTCTAACTTGAGTAACTTGGGAGAGAGTCATACCAATTGGTGAGACAGGGAAAGATTGAGGAAGAATAGTTTTTGATGAGTGTGTGTGTGTGTGTGTGTGTGTGTGTATGTATGTGTGAGTGTGTAGAGGGGGAGATGAAGAGCTCTGTTTTTACACATCACAACTGAGAAGTTAATAAGATGTCAAAGAAAAGATGTCAAGAGGGCAGGCTGGTGTGGATTCCAAAGAATGGTCCAAATTGGGAATAAAAATGTAAGCATCTAATTGCTGTGTCCCCAGAGCCTAGAACAGGGACTGGTATATAGTTGATGTTTACTATGTTTTCATTCACAGAAGGATTACTATATTGAGGAAAAGCCCAAAGCCAGGGATTTTGTCATGAAATATTCTCTAAGGATGTGGAGAAACAAAGAAACTTGTACATTGCTGTTGGAAATGTAAATTGGTAGACGCTTTATGGAAAACAATGTGGAGATTCCTCCAAACATTACACAATGGAACTGCCATATTAAAAGAAATCTAAACTTCATATTTGGGCCTTGAAGAGTTGTCCCAAGAGATCAACTAAGAGGGAGTCAGAAAACGATACCTGGATTAATTCCATAGGGGTGGTTGGGACATGGATCAGGTGGTTACAATAGGTTGTGCTGGTAGAAGACAGTGTGCAGAATTGGAGGGTGGGTAGGAGCATGGGAGAATGCTTGTGGAAACAACTCCTTTTCAAAAGTTTTGCTGGGAGGGTAAACAGATAAATGGCAACAGCTAGAGATGGTGGTGGGGTGAAGAAGAAGCCTTTAGAAAGCTGCAGCTGTAAGGTCATGTTTGTGTGCTAATAGACTCCGCAAGAGGGTGAGAGCCAGAGCAAACCACCAAGAAGGAGGATGGAGAAGAGACAACTGGAGACAAAAGCCTTCGAGAAGGACAGAGGGAACGCACGCCGGAGCATGTCGCAGATAGCATGTTGGTCGATTTTGGTGGTGGGACGATGAGGGAGTTGTGACTTCAAACCGTGACTTTATAACTTTTGAGTGAATTATAACTATGTGGTCAGCGGCTGAACTTTAGGTAGTGAATGGTGTTTGAAAGAAGAAACCTATTATCTTGGGTGATGGAAACACCAAATTTCCTAGGGAAGTACCCAGTGCTGATGTTCCAGGGAGATTTGTGTCCGTGGATTAGCCAGGCGGTGTGATTGATCTCTGGTGGCATTTATCGGTGGTAGCACGGACACAGAGGAGGTGCTCAGCAAATGTTGAAGTTCGTCTTGGTGGTTGTGGCAGAAGATGCGACCCAAAGGTGTTGGGGGGTGGTTTGTGAGAAGAATTATAAAGAAGGCCAATTTAGGTACAGAAGGACAGGAAGTGGCTGCTAATGGTGGACCTGTAGTGGCATCAGTGGGTCAGTGGTCAAGACAAAGGTGAGAAATGTGGGAGCAAGTGACCAGGAAGGATGGGCAGTAGCAAGGAGAATGTGGGGATGGAGAAGGATGGGCAGTAGCAAGGAGAATGTGGGGTTGGAGACTTCTGGTCACTTTTTGGCCTATGGTGTGACTTGAGTAGGTGGCTGCACTAAAGTGAAGGTGACTGGGGTGGAGGAGGTCAAGGAAATGGGCCAGGTGTTTGGGTGAGTAGCAAATTATTGTAGGAAGAAGGCAATAAATACAATTGTAACCAGGAACTAATGCACGCAGAGATCTAAGAGGAGGAAGGGCTGAGAGTGGGTAGAATGCCCCAGGGCCAAGGTTGGCAAAGGTGTGAAAGAGTTGCAATGAGGACCAGGGCTGGTCCATTTGGTGCCTTCCTTTGGTAGAAGAATATTGTCCCCAGGACGCATAGTTTGGGGTTGCAGGTTGCATTTTACCCACTCCTCCGGGAGCATCCTTGGCCAAGACACAATCTACCTACATCTCCTGGGCAGTCATGCCCTGTGCCTTGGTTGAATGGTAATGGTACTGAAGACACTATTTCTTGCAGGAGAAATAGCCTGAAAGAGGCAAGGGGAGAGAATCAACCCTCTAATTTTACAAGCAGGGAAACTGAGGCCCAGAGAAGGGAAATTACTCAAACATGTGGGAGGTTGGTGGCAGAACTGGAACTAAATCTTG